TTCGAACTACTGCTCCAACATCCATGGTATGCAGATGGCATATAACTTTATCATAAGCATGAAATATATTATTCTGAAATATACTTACTAACTCGATGCGGTACCATAACAATAAAATCATAAGCAGAAGCTGAAATGAAATACATACCAATGGTCTATTGCGGCTCAATCTTGACTTCCTACGTAACCATGGGAGACGGAACTTGAACTACCCCTCCCAGCTGGAGTATCTGTAATGAAACCGGAGCTGCCTTAACCCTTATGCGGGGGCAATTCGCTCTGATGTGTCCAGGCTGATGACAACGATGTCACAACTCTTCCTCCAATGTGCATTCTTGACGCTTGTGACCCTTCCGCCCGCACCTTCCGCACTTAGATCTGCTACGAACATCTTTCTGTACCACTTCGCCCTTTGGGTTTTTGACTCCTGCTACAGTCGAACTCAACTGCTCGGTTGGTTGGCTCAAACCATGTTCCCGCTTCCTCTTTCCAAGGTGCACATCTAACCCAATCTCTTGCTTCCGAGTTACCCCGACTACCCCACCAACGACCTGCATAGTCGCTGTCTGATGCTGAAACCTAGCGGTTACCCTGCCAGTAACAAGCTCAATAATATCGAGTAACTCCTCGTGGACGGCCCGCGAAACCTCCACAGCAATCCAATCCTGAAGTGAACTCTCCTAGAGACAAGGTGCATAACCCACCTCCGATCCCCGATGACAAGAGCTGATAATAGGACACTCCCTTTCGAGGGATCCCGAAGATCCATAAACATTGGCATATAAAACTAGTCTTTTATTAAGTTGATTTTTAGTATTACATACACATGTCTTAAAAAAATGAGGATTTTCTTTAATAAATGCAGAAATGGACCAAAATACCCCTTAAAAGTGGAATTGCAACAAATCATTAAAACAACAAAGAATATCCTTTCCCCTGCCAATCTTGGACTCAATGCTGAAGACAAGCTTCATATTAGGTATTGCAATTAAATGTAAACAAACAAAAAGACCATAATACCCTTTTTTGTTATTTTCAAAAGAAAAAAAAAGAACATGCATTGGCTTCCATCTCCCCCTTGTAAAAATATTCCTTCTGGTGTGACTTGCTTAAGATCTTGTTTGTATTTAGACAAACCAAAGTCTTCAAGATCTGGATACATGCTTCTGTCAAGCTGCATCAAATTCAGAATCATGTATTCAACCACTAAAAACACAATATGGAACTTCAAAATAAAAACACAACACAAAATTGATTTATTTATTATAGCATCTTACTTCTATTTATTCGTATAACAATGTCATGTAAAGACAAAACACCTTTCACTATTATATGAAGAAAATAACTGGAGGTATAATACTATAACTAGGTAGATTCATCAAAGTATGATGCCTTAATATGAAGAAGATTGAAAGTATAAGGAAATAAAAGTAAGAGGCTATTTTTAATTTTGGTGGCCAGATTTTGGGTATGATCAACTACCCCTTGTCTGTCATACCCGACAACACCAAACTGTTGGTACAAAAAAATATGAAATTTTGTATAATATTTCAAGATTAAAAAGAAAGAAATTGGTGGGAAATAGATATAATACTTCTTAACCCACCATTTGCCAAAAAAAAAAAAAAAAAACACAATGAGATATATAGGCTGACAATAAGAACATTTTGTTTAACTGTAGCAAGAAACTCCTCCACTATAAAAGTAAAAAGAATCTGTTAGTACTTATAATCTCCATTTTTGTAACCATATTCCATAAATTTCAGTTAGTAAAAATAAAAGCATTTACATAAATTTCAGGATGATCAAAGGATCCATGGTGTCTGAAAATGATACACATACACACATGTTGGTACAAAGAGAAGCTAAATAATTAATTTTAAAATGATAAAATTTAAAGTATTAGAACTGTATGTAAATTTGAGACAGTATAATTAGGTGAAAAACTTACACAGATGGGTATAGCTTCAATAGGTGATGGGTCTATGCATCAGCAATAACCTGCTCCTTTGTCACCTACAGCTTACACTCACTGCATGGGTAAATTAGCTAGTAAATAAGTTACTTAACATGAAAGCATTGTAACATGTAAACAGATAAATTTATATACCTCAACATTTGGTTGTCGAACATCTGATTGATGCATACAACATTTGCAATTAATTTGAAGCTCTATTATAGTCTGTAGGGTTCAAGTGAAAAATCAGTTTCTTGTCTACAAGCTAAATGAAACAGAGCTTCAACTTTTCCGTATCATCTAAATAACAAACAATGAGATTCAGCACCAGTGAGAACATCTCACATATAATAATAATAAAAAAAAGGATACACTATTTGATCAAAAGAAAGACCTTGTGTTCTTTATTCTTGGAATCTTGGAAAAATACATAAATTTATCATACCCATCATACCATATACTCTGTTATATAATCATGGGGCACTGCAGAATACAATAGGTTGAACTCAATTCCCCCATGTATTCCAAAAATTTCATGTTGTCCTTCCTGAATGAAAATACAGTGATTAAGTAAAAAAGAAGCAGAAGTGTTGTCAAGATGTGATTAAGTAGGAAAAAAAACCATTATCATGAAATTTGAGTTTCTTACTCCATGATATGATCTGGTTGGACCTTTCATATATGCATGCCAAAGGAAGATAAGAAATATATATATTATATATAAGTAAAATAAGCATGTGCATTATTAGAAGAAACAATTGACATTTACTTACAAATCCGATGGATAGGACTTAATTTCAAGACTTCCACCAGCAACATTGGCAATCAGGTTTCCATGGGAAAGTACAACTATTAGACTAGGATATATATATATATATATATATATATATATATATATATATATATATATATATATATATTATATTTTGAATATATTTGGAGATAAGGCATGTATATCAGGTCCTAAAATAAAGGATCTCAAATTGTACCTTATATATATCATCAACCAACACAGAAACGGGACAGAATCTTTTGATACGCTTTTATGGTATCAGAGCGCTCTCCTTGATTTACCCTAATTCTGCCGCTAGTCCTCCTTCTCCCCTGTGATCGGATTTCTTCTTCTTTCCTTTCAACGATCGCAACCTTCAATCAACTACTATGGATAAGCTACATCCAGCAATCACAGTGACAAACATCCACAACGTCATCCCTGTAAAACTTGAGATGGAGAACAGTCAATACTCGTCATGGGCTGAACTTTTCAAAATCCATTGCCGAGCATTCGAGGTGCTTGACCACATCATCCCTCACACCATACAGCCTTCCTCTTCAAGTACAGAAAAAGCAACAGATAAAGAAGCTGACAAAGACAAAACCAAAGCAACCACTGATCAACTCTAGAATCGTGTGGATGCCATTGTGTTGCAATGGATTTACAGCACAATTTCTCATGACCTTCTGCACACCATTCTTCAACCTGACTCAACAGCAACCCAAGCTTGGGATTCTCTAGCCAACATCTTTCAGGATAACCGCAATACCCGTGCGATCTATCTTGAACAACAATTTAACAATACCCGGCTTGACAGTTTCTCCAATATCACCTCATACTACCAGACACTAAAAATTCTCTCTGATCAGCTTGCAAACATTGGCTCTCCTATCTCAAGTCAGCGACTAGTCTTACAACTTATCTCTGGACTTAATTCTGAATATGATGGGGTTGCCATGCTTCTCCAACAGACGATGCCTCTCCCAGACTTCTATCAAGCAAGGTCTAAACTAATATTGGAAGAGACACGCAAAGCAAATCAGCAACAACCTGCCACTGCTCTCCATACCACCACCTCTCAGATTACAGCCGCCTTACCATCCCCCTCTCCCTCTGAACCATCTCCTCAACCTGATGCCCCTCCCTACTCAACAGGGCATGGCAGCGGTCAAACACGGGGCCGTCGACGTGGTCGTGGGACTCGTGGACCACATCAACCCAGGTATTATTCTCAGCAGCAACAACCTTGGTGAAATACTTTTCAACAACAGCCGATGTGGGGTTGGTCACCACCAACATGGGCAATTCCTCCATGCCCTTATCCGAACAGTCCTCGTCCTTCAGCTCCAAGACAACAGATGGGTGCCCCAGGAATTCTAGGACCGAGACCACCCCAGTCAAACTATGCAGCATCTGAGATCGGTTATGCTCCAACAGATATCGATCAAGCATTGCACACTATGTCGCTTAACCCACCGGACAACAATTGGTACCTTGATTCTGGCGCCACATCCCACATGACGAACACACAAGGTAATCTCCCGTCTTCTTTCAACAAGTCTCATTTAAAACATATTATTGTTGGTAATGGCTTCCAAATCCCAATCCAAGGTACTGGTCATTCCACCTTACCAACTCCTTTCCCTCCTCTTCAACTAAATCACATTCTTTATGCTCCTAACCTAATTACCAATTTACTTTCTGTTAGGCGTTTAACAACTAACAACAACATATCTATTGAGTTTGATCGTTTCGTTTTCTTGTAAGGGATTTTCAGACCCGGATACCTATAATTCGATGTAACAGCACCGGATATATATAGGGATGAGCATAGGCGGGTACCCGTCTCATTTGGCGAGAACCGGAACCGGAACCGGCGGTTCCTAAAAAGTTAGAACCGGAACCGGAACCGGTCTAGGCGGTTCTTAAATTTTTGGATCCAGTCCCGGAACCGGCGGTTCCGGTTCCGGGAGCGGGTAACCCGGTTACATTAACTTGTTTAACTTTTTTCGATAAAACCGCAATTTAGTTCGATCCACATCGAATCAATTCGGACCAAAAAAGGACATAATATATTCTAAACCGGTCTAAGTAACACACACATATTTATATGAAATACCAATATATATATATATATATATATATATATATATATATATAAACCGGTTTCGGCGGGTACCCAGCGGGTAGCGGTTCCAAAAAAAAGAGAATTGGAACCAGAACCGCTTAAGGCAGTTCCATAACTTTAGGAACCGGAACCGGAACCGCTTAAGGCAGTTCCAGTTCCAGAACCGACAGTTCCAAGGCGGTTCCGGTTCCAAAAGCGGGTACCCGGTTCCGATGCTCATCCCTAGATATATAGATGCCTTATCTCCAAATATATATATATGTTCAACTTTGGTAGACTTGAAAAAAAACATTAGTGAATAAGAAATAGAAACCTTTGGTGTCCACTTGTAACAACATCATCTGGTTTTGGTGGATGAAAACAGAAGGGTGAATGGTTGTTACTTCCCTAAAAACCACCAATTCATATGGCAAATACATCGGTATGAAAAAATTAAAAACTCAAATAATAATAAAAAAACTCTTGTTATTGGAGGTAAATGTTTAAGTCTGTTATTACGATAACAAGACAGAATTTGCAAAAAGTTCAGCAAAGCCAAACACACTACATTATGATTCAACAAAAAGGATTTGAAGTTACCTGAGTAATAAGTTTTGAAAATGATACAGCATCTTTTGGGTCTAGTTTCACTAGTGTGATTGGGGCTAAATGCAAGACCAGGTTCTCAGAACATCCCACGTATACAAAAAACAGGATAAAAAGATAGGGGCAAAATAGTCATATTTCACTTGGACTTCACTGGCATTTTGCAACACCATCAGTCCCTACCAGGGACAAACCTTGCAACAAAACGATACTTTTATCAACCTCTCGTGCAACAAACGAAATATCTAGATGAAAACCATAACTTTTGAGATATATCACAAGGATAAAATTGTAATTTACTCTATAAATAATAATAATGGCATGTTACCTGGCAATAACCAAGATCAAAGTTGTAGAACTAGGCCTGGCAATGGAGCGGGTTTTGACCCTGATCCGATCCAAACCCTTAAAATTATATGGGTTTGGAGTATAGTTTTTGATCCGTTTACCCGTTAACGACCCGTACCCGCTAACTCTTTTATTAAAAGGGTCAGGTATGGATCAGCACTGATCCGCTCCGTTTATAACCCGCCCCATATAAATTTTAGAAATATAAATTTATATTTTATATTGCTTTACATTAAATTCCAATCAGAAATCCAAAGATTAAAGGCCAAAAAGCCTGCACATTCATTCATTATAATCAAATCCATGTAATTTAAATGGAAGAATGAGAAGCAATGGACTTTAAAAACTTTACATGTAACTAACAGGATGATCAACGGATCCATGGTGTCTGAAAAGGATACACATACACACATGTTGGGACAAAGAGAAGCTAAATAATTAATTTTAAAATGATAAAATTTAAAGTCTTAGAACTGTATGTAAGTTTGACACAGTATAATTAGGTGGAAAACAAGGTTCTTATCAGAGACACACTTCGTGAGATCACACACGTGGAAGGTATCGAGAAATTTGTTGATTTCTTGAGGTAACTTGAGTTTGTAAGCTATCGGACCAACTTTTCCCACGATCTCCAGGGGTTTAGTTTTCCAAATATAATGACACTTTTACATGGTGAAAGTGTCATTATACTAAACTACACAGAAATTAGAGATACCTAACTGGCTATGCTAACGTGAGACGCAAACCCCTGGAAATCAAAGAGGAGACATCTATGTCCATACAAGACCTGAAGAGTTTTTTTTTTTTTTTTTCCAACAAACAAGCAGCCTTTATGCTAACGTGATAACTATTGCTGTATAAAAACTCTACTAGCAGTAAGTGGGCATACCATGCATCATCGATGCATATCAAACAAACACGAAGCATGTCTTCTAAATTTTGTATCATCCTTCAACCCTGTCTATCCGTTTGTGAATAAAATGTTGTACTCATGTCTAGTTTGGGTTCCTAGGGACCTCTGCAACAATTTCCAAGATCTAGAAGTGAATCTGTTATCTCGATCTGAGATAATAGATATTGGCACACCGTGTAGTCTGCCTATTTCCTTAAGATGGGTCCTGGTAAGTTTCTCTATTTTTTTATTTTATATGATGGTTAGGAAATAGGCAGACTTGGTCAAACGGTCAACCACTACCCAAATAGTATCATAATCGATCGAAGTTTTTGGCAACTTCATTATGAAATCAATGGCTATTTGTTCCCATTTCCATTATGGAATCAATGGTTACCCTCATAGAACTACAATGACCTGTCATGTCCTTACGTTAAAAACAAAAACAAAATACTTAAATAAAAAAGCAAATTTTCAAATAATTTGAAATGTATGGTCATTTGCATACCACATCTTTCTCGATCAAACCCTTCCTTTCTCTAATTTTTGTAAACCTATACTCTACAACATGAAATTGCAATAAACATAATATGTAGGTGATGGAAGTTGGAGGGTAAAATGGTCATTTACCTGCCAATGGTTTTTTTATAGTCATGTACTCTAAGATACCACCCCTCTGTGTATGTTGAATCTTATGAATAAGATCCCATTAAAAATGCCCAAACCTGGAATTACATGTCATTAACAGATTTAGTTAAAATTAGCCAAAAGGGTAAATACGTAAATTTTACCAAAGCATAAAAAACTTGGAATTACATGTCATTAACAGAAGTGTTGTCAAGATGTGAATAAGTAGGAAAAAAAATCATTATCATGAAATTTGAGTTTCTTACTCCATGATATGATCTGGTTGGACCTTTCATATATGCATGCAGAAGGAAGATAAGAAGTATATATTATATATAAGTAAAATAAGCATGTGCATTATTAGAAGAATCAATTGACATTTACTTACAAATCCGATGGATAGGACTTAATTTCAAGACTTCCACCAGCAACATTGGCAATCAGGTTTCCATGGGAAAGTACAACTTCAGGGCCAGACTTACATAGAATGAAACTAAGCCCCCAAATCAAAGGGCACCACATAACCCAAATTTCAATTAGGGGATCTCGATCCGGATTCTCCATTCGCGCACATCAGCAGAACCGCATAAACCATTATCCACGGAAGCCATTCTCTGTCCTCTGATTTCATTCTCCATTCTCCTTAAGCCGCAAAAACCACTACCTGTTTGATTCTCTGATTCTTCTTCCTGGCTCTTATCGATTATTGATTATTGAAAAATCAAAAAAAAAGATTGTTGATTATTCATTCTGAAAGTCTATCAAGTTTCAAGAACTCAACTGATTTGGTGATTCATGAATCTTGAAAGGCATGTTCTTCCTTTGATTCTCTATTTCTCTATAACCGATAACTGTCCATTGTTGATTATCTATGATTGTGAATTTTGTGTCTTGTGATAATCTGATAATCTATGATAAATTTTGTTATTTTGATGAAGTTAAATCTATTTGATGTGGAAATCTGTTTTGATATAGAAGCACCCGATAATTAAAAAGTCTTAATTTCTACCTTTCCATTGTCACTATTTCTCAAAACATGCTTGTCTTTTTGTAAAGTATATAACGTCTTTAATGTACTTTGGTATGAATATTGCAATATAAAACCAAATACTAACCTTTGGAAACTGGGACTTATCATTTATGGAATTCCAACATGACCATAATAACAAAAAGTAAACAAGCTTATGGCAACTGGAAACCCATTCTACTTCCAGAGTTTCCCTTTCTCATGGAATCCAATTCCATCAAAAGCACCAGCTCAAGATATAGCCAAGAACAGAATCACTGATGCAATTACCCAACCAGCAAAAAAACATATGCCAACACCCCTTAATTTTCTTAGCCAGGTTATAGGCAATACCACAAGAGCAGTCACCAAAACAAACCCTTTTCCATCCAATTTTCATTCCAAAAATATCAAAACTTTCCTCTGGAAATGTGTAAATTTTCACCTTCCGTAATTAATTAAAAACTCAACTGCCACCAAGAAAAGCTCGAGGCACATGAAGGTTGAAATAATTGCCCTCCCTTTTCTCCCAAATGCCACTTTGCCTATGTTAGGGTATGTTTTGATGACAACGGGGTCTGAATCCAGGCATACGGGATAGAAAGTATTCCGACACCTATATAACGAACAAGATGATGTTTGTTAGCTGGGTAATATGAGATCATGCATAAAGTATCTAAAAAGGCTAAAAAAGTTAACGTTATGTCTTATATGTATTCACAAAAAGACATGTACATAATAATAATAAAAAAAAAATTCTAACTCCTCTATTTAAAAACCTTTTTAGATTGTTATTGCCGCTCCCAAGCCCGACTAAAAGAGGAGGGCTTATAACATTAAGTATAGTAAATACCAAAGGGCCCCAAATTTGCAAAAAGTTCAGCAAAGCCAAACACACTACATTATGATTCAACAAAAAGGATTTGAAGTTACCTGAGTAATAAGTTTTGGAAATGATACAACATCTTTTGGGTTTAGTTTCACTAGTGTAATTGGAGCTAAATGCAAGTCCAGGTTCTCAGAGCATCCCACATATACAAAAAAAGACAGGGGCAAAATAGTCATATTTCACTTGGACTTCACTGGCATTTTGCAACACCATCCCAGGGACAAACCTTGCAACAAAACGATACTTTTATCAACCTCTTGTGCAACAAACGAAATATCTTAGATGAAAACCATAACTTTTGAGATATATCACAAGCACAAAATTGTAATTTACTATAGTGGCATGTTACCTGACAATAACCAAGATCGAAGTTGTAGAACAAGTCAAGAATATATCATCACCTTAATAGAGCGACAATTACCTGTCAGTCCTTACCTTAAAAACAATAACAAAATACTCAAATAAGAAAACCGCATTTCAAATAACTTGAAAAGAATTTGCAATAAAAATAATATGTGGGTTATAGAAGTTGGAAGGGCAAAATAGCCATTTACCTGCTTAATAGTCATATACTCTGATGTTTTAATTAACTGAGACAAGATAAATAGCTTGTGTATTGAGTGTATATTGAGGATTCTTCTCAAAGAGAAGACCCATCTTTTTTCCCTAAAAAACTCTCTAAACTGTCAAATTAGTAGTGTAGTTTGTGAGGGTAGAAGAGTAAAGTTAGTTGCCACTTTTTGAATTGGATCAGAATCGAATGGAAACAGAAGCAGTCGTTTTGTTTGAAGTAGTCGTGCATTAAGTTGCCCTATCAAAACAAAATTAGACATGTTAGAAACCGCAGCTAAGAAATGGAATAGCGGATACCGACAGAGTCGGGATTCGAGATTCCATTTCATGACGTATTTGGTTGACAGACAATTGGGACATAATTCAGTTCTGTTGGATTTTCTTGAAATTCCATTTTTAGTAATCGCTTCGCAGCCAAGAATTGGAATTGTGGATTCCAAGGGAATTGGAATTCGAGATTCCATTCAATGTTGCATTTGGTTGAAAATTTGGACAGAATCAACTCTGTCAAATTCCTTTAAATTTATAAATTGAAAAAAAAAACACCAGAAAGCTTGTGATTCATCTTTCATGATGAATAATGATATTGGAGAGAGATCACTCAAGCACTGTGAGAAAAAAAATAGTTTCTTACAAACATTAGCAAAATATTGTGTATAATAAAAAAACCACAAATAATTAACAATTTAAATTTAGTTTTTTTGCAATGTTCGTCCCTTGCACTAATGGTGTTAAAAAAGGTTTTAAAGAAATATGACTGATTAGTTTTAAGTAAAATGACTTTTTTGCCCTTATCTTCATCTTCTCAATCTCCTTTAGTTTTCTGTTTTTTTCTTCAGTTTGTTGGTACCCTGGATCTTAATTTAGTTTTGGTTTTAGTTTAATTTTTGGGTTTTGGTTTGTTTAGAATTTAAGATGAAGATTTGAGGAATTTTAGGTTTAGAGGATGAAGGAGAAAAAGAGGGGGACAAAATAGTCATTTCACTTGGACTTCACAAACATTTTGCAATACTATCAATACCAGGGACAAACCTTGCAACAAAACTTCTATACTTTTATCTGGATGAAGATAATAACTTTTGAGATATATCACAAGGAAGAAATTGTAATTTACTCTATAAATAATAATAATAATAATGGCATGTTACTTGGCAATAACCAAGATCAAAGTTGTAGAACAAATAAGTCATCAATATATCATGCACAATGCATACATTTGGATTATCATCGCCCTCATAGAAAGGCAATGAGATGTCAAGTCCTTACCTTAAAAACAAAAATAAAATACTTAAATAAAAAACCACATTTTAAATAATTTTAAATGAAAATGTATGGTTATTTTCATACCTTATCTTTCTCGATCAAACCCTCCCTTTCTCTAATTTTTGTAAACCTTTTAGTCTGTTTCGGAGAAATACTGAAATTGCAATAAATCTAATAAGTGGTTGATAGAAGTTTGAGGGCAAAATAGTCATTAACCTCCCAATTGTTTTTGACACCATACTGCGTCTTTGCGTATGTTGAATTGTATGAATAAGATCCTACTAAAATTGCCCAAACCTGGAATTACATGTCGATAACAAATTTAGTTAAAATAAGCCAAAAGGGTAAATGTGTAAATTAGGAAAAAATTTCAAAGTACAATGTCTTGATAAAGAAAAAAGTTGAAAGTACAATAATGTAATAGAAAGAAAATGAAAACATGATGCTATAAAACGCTTATATAAAATGCACATGGATTTGATTCATGATCAAATGCAAGTGTGTTTCTCTTGCTCTGTCTGTATCACATGCAATTATGAACTTCATATATATATAAATATATATATATATATATATATATATATATATATTCGATAGCCTAATCACAATAAAGTTGATATTTAAGGAGTGAAAACCTCTTTGTGGACTGAAACAAATTCTTTTAGAACCTCGGGATCCATTGCACCATTACTCTAACAAAAACGGATAAATCATTCATATATTCATTGATAATTGGAAAACAAAATTATCTTCTATTAAAGTATTAAGATAGGATCCAGTGACAAAAATTGCAATACCTGATCCCATTTATTGTACAGATCACCAGAAAGAATGAAATGAAATCCATATTTTCTTAACATAATTGGAACAAGCATCACAGCTGAATGAAGAGGTTCCTGCTAAAAACTGAAGTTATTTTAGAAAAATCCCAAATATAATAATTTTTTTCACAAAAGGGAATTGACTATTACCTCATAAGAGAAATGAAAGCAAACACCAACACCCTCTTTATCCACCAAAGGCCACACCATGAGGCATTGATGTCCTAATATGCTAAATAAAAGCACACCTTTTAAATAAATAAACAGAAATGACAAATATTTGTTGTAAGGAACTACCAGACATACTACATAAGTGCTGAAGGTGTTTTCCGTGCAATATTCAGTATCTTTTTTGATTGATTCAACATGAAGTATGCTAATCCCATCATTTCCTGCAGATAATCTGAAATGTATGGTCATTTGCATACCACATCTTTCTCGATCAAACCCTTCCTTTCTCTAATTTTTGTAAACCTATACTCTACAACATGAAATTGCAATAAATATAATATGTAGGTGATGGAAGTTGGAGGGTAAAATGGTCATTTACCTGCCAATGGTTTTTGATAGTCATCTACTCTACTAACATACCGCCTCTCTGTGTATGTTGAATCTTATGAATAAGATCCCATTAAAAATGCCCAAACCTGGAATTACATGTCATTAACAGATTTAGTTAAAATTAGCCAAAAAGTTAAATACATAAATTTTACCAAAATATAAAAAACTTGGTCACAAGGTTGTCACAAAAGAGTTGTAAAGTTGTTTTCCCAAGAAAAATTTGATCAGAAGAGGGTCCTGAAAGTTATTCACAACAATCAATGATCTCTGAAACAAAAAATGAGTTGTTATAAACAACAATAACTTCTAAATTTATTTACGGTTTATTTAATTTGATTGAACGTAGAAATGAAAGAGAAGAAGATGACAGGGGCAAAATGGTCATGTACAAATATTTAACATCGGTGTTGTTAAAGTTGGCAAAATGGTCCTTTTCATAAATTTAGCATATAGGTTGTTTGAAGTTGAGACCAAACATTATCAAACCAAGAAATGAGTACCATATTTTAAAAAAAGATTTTTTTTTTTTTTGCTCCTTCAGCATATATGATAATTCTGTTTTTAAGGAGAGATAGAACTTTGTTGAAACTTCATCACGCTCCTTGAAAATGGAAATGAAAGAGATGATGATGAAAGGGACAAAATGGTCATTTTCATAAATTTAACATCTACTTGACAACCCTGGTACCAAAAGCGTTATGAAACCATGAAATAAGGACCAAAATTGCAAAAAAAGACTCCTATTAGGACCTAAACCACCAACCTGACAATAAGAACATGTTGTTTAACTGTAGCAAGAAACTCCTCCACTGTAAAAGTAAAAAGAATCGGTTAGTACTTATAATCTCCATTTTTGTAACCATATTCCATAAATTCCAGTTAGTAAAAAGAAAAACATGCAAGGTCTAACAAACAGACCACAATTACATATGCACATGAATTTGACATTAATAACTTTTTAATTAAGTGAACTTTTCAACATAAAAAAATAGATTGAACTCTTTGCTAAAAGAAAGCAATTTTTATCAAGTCAATCATAGATATAGACACAAATCCATAAAATATAAAGATGTCATTATTATTCAGGTAGCACTTTATCAGTGCAGCACTTAATAAAAAAGAAAAAGAAAAAGAAAAAAAAAAGGTTATTTGCCTTATATCAGGAGCACTACACAGCCTGATTGATATAAGCTTTTTTCCAAAATCGGTTGGATATGCTAAATATCAAACCCATCAGATGTAACATATCAGGAAAAATTAAAGCCCAAAATTTACAAAAACATGGAAGAATCTGAGCAAAACCCTTAAAACATGGAGAAACGTAACAGAAATGAGTATACAGGTTCTAAAAGAGCATGCCAGGTGTCCCCAAATAGAAAAATCCTCCTCCTCTTCATAGAAGTATGGCAGTTTTAGCAATGCCATACAAATACAAAGCCATTTCACTTCTTAATTAGGTAAATCTTTTTAGGTCCCAAAAAGCAAAAAAAAAAAAATTGAAAGTTCGATGCTATAAATTAATGGGTAGATTATTTGAAGGATAATGTCACAATAAGAAAAAAAAAATCGAAGTACAATTTTATAATTGGGTAAATTTTTTGAAGCGTAATGTCCTAATAAAAAAAGATGAAAGTGCAATGCTATCCATAACTGCTGCAACTGAAAAAAGGTTAAAGGGTTTATATTTACGGATGGTTTCATAGAATTGTTATTTTTCCAGAAAATTGTACTTTATGAAAAAATCCAAGTCACAAATTGTATTACAGGAAATGCACTTACATAAAATTCCCAAGGATTTGGTTCATGATCATCCTGCAAATGTATGAACTTCACAATATATATTTGATACATTTAAATCATAAGAAAATTGATATTTATGGAGTGAGAAGCTCTTTGTGGACAAAAACAATTTTTTTTGGAATCTTTGGATCCATCATATTAGTTGATAGGAAGGATCCCTGTCATTTGAAGAAACAACCAAAAAGCCTGCACATTCATTCATTATAATCAAATCCATGTAATTTAAATGGAATAATGAGAAGCAATGGACTTTAAAAACCTTACATGTAACTAACAGGATGATCAAAGGATCCATGGTGTCTGAAAAGGATACACATACACACATGTTGGTACAAAGAGAAGCTAAACAATTAATTTTAAAATGATAAAATTTAAAGTATTAGAACTGTATGTAAGTTTGAGACAGTATAACTAGGTGAAAAACTTACACGGATGGGTATAGCTTCAATAGGTGATGGGCCTATGCATCAGCAATAACCTGCTCCTTTGTCACCTACAACTTACACTCACTGCATGGGTAAATTAGCTAGTAAACAAGTTACTTGACATGAAAGCATTGTAACATGTAAACAGATAAAGTTATACACCTCAACATTTGGTTGTCGAACATCTGATTGATGCATACAACATTTGCAATTAATTTGAAGCTCTATTATAGTCTGTAGGGTTCAAGTGAAAAATCAGTTTCTTGTCTACAAGCTAAATGAAACAGAGCTTCAACTTTTTCGTATCATCTAAATAACAAACAACGAGATTCAGAACCAGTGAGAGCATCCCACATATAATAAGAAATAGAAACCTTTGGGTAAGGAAAGGTTCAACTTTGGTATACTTGAAAAAAGAAACATTAGTGAATAAGAAATAGAAACCTTTGGTGTCCACTTGTAGCAACATCATCTGGTTTTGGTGGATGAAAACAGAAGGGTGATTGGTTGTTACTTCCCTAAAAACCACCAATTCATATGGCAAATACATCGGTATGAAAAGATTAAAAACTCAAATAATAATAAAAAACTCATGTTATTGGAGGTAAATGTTTGATTCTGTTATTACGATAACAAGACAGAATTTGCAAAAAGTTCAGCAAAGCCAAACACACTACATTATGATTCAACAAAAAGGATTTGAAGTTACCTGAGTAATAAGTTTTGGAAATGATACAACATCTTTTGGGTTTAGTTTCACTAGTGTGATTGGAGCTAAATGCAAGTCCAGGTTCTCAGAGCATCCCACATATACAAAAACAGACAGGGGCAAAATAGTCATATTTCACTTGGACTTCACTGGCATTTTGCAACACCATCAGTCCCTACCAGGGACAAACCTTGCAACAAAACGATACTTTTATCAACCTCTCGTGCAACAAACGAAATATCTAGATGAAAACCATAACTTTTGAGATATATCACAAGGACAAAATTGTAATTTACTCTATAAATAATAATAATAATGGCATGTTACCTGGCAATAACCAAGATCAAAGTTGTAGAACAAGTCAAGAATATATCATCACCTTAATAGAACGACAATTACATGTCAGTCCTTACCTAAAAAACAATAATAAAATACTCGAATAAGAAAACCGCATTTTAAATAACTTGAAAAGAATTTTGCAATAAACATAACATGTGGGTTATAGAAGTTGGAAGGGCAAAATAGTCATTTACCTGCCGCCATTGCTTTTTGATAGTCATATACTCTGATGTTTTAATTAACTGAGACAAGATATTGCCTCTGTGCGTATGTTGAACCGTATGAATAAGATCCCACTACCTGGAATTACATGTCATTAACAGATTTAGTTAAAATTAGTCGAAAGGGTAAATTCGTAAATTTTACCAAAAGTTTTTAGCTTCGTTCTAATTGGCTTTTGCCTTTTATTCACACACAAAACTTTTGCTTCCGCTCCAATGCATAGAGATACTACTAGTGGTCACAGCTTATCTTTTGTAATCAGTGTATAATTTCTATGTATCACATGCAATTATCAAATTCATATACGGATTTTATGCTTCAGATTAATCAGCAAAATATCTTTGCTATCACATGCTTTTCTTGTCAATATAACTCTAGTAAGCTGATTTATAGGCTAGAAATATGAGATTCAGGGTGATAAATATCTTGTGTATTGAGTATATATTGAGGATTCTTCTCAAAGAGAAGACCCATCTTTTTTCCCTAAAAAATTCTCTAAACTGTCAAATTAGTAGTGTAGTTTGTGAGGGTAGAAGAGTAAAGTTGCTTGCCCCTTTTTGAATTGGATCAGAATCCAGTGGAAACAGAAGCGGTCGTTTTGTTTGAAGTAGTTGTGCATTGAGCTGCCCTATCAAAACAAAATTAGACATGTTAGAAACCTCAGCTAAGAAATGGAATAGCGGATTCTGACAGATTCGGGATTCGAGATTCCATTTCATGATGTATTTGGTTGACAGACAATTGGGACATAATTCAGTTCTGTTGGATTTTCTTGAAATTCCATTTTTAGTAATCGCTTTGCAGCCAAGAATTGGAATTGTGGATTCCAATGGAATTGGAATTCGAGATTCCATTCAATGCTGCATTTGGTTAAAAATCTGGACAGAATTCAACTCTGTCAAATTCCTTTAAATTTCAAATTTGAAGGACTTCAACCATTCATGATGGCAGGTGGTTTCAATTTCATTACTCTTTTTTTTTATTAAACGGCCAAAATACCCTAGATCACGGTTGAAATTTGGACCTAAAAGAAAACACCAGAAAGCTTGCGATTCATCTTTCATGATGAATAATGATATTGGAGAGAGATCACTCAAGCACTGTGAGAAAAAAATTTGTTTTTTACAAACATTAGGAAAATATTGTGTATAATAAAAAAAACCACAAATAATTAACAATCAAATTTAGTTTTTTTTTTTTTTTTTTGCAATGTTCGTCCCTTGCACTAACGGTGTTAAAAAAAAAAAAAGGTTTTTAAGTAATATGACTGATTTGTTTTAAGTAAAATGACTTTTTTGCCCTTATCTTCATCTTCTCAATCTCCTTCCTCTTAAATCATAAAAACCTAAAACACCCAAAAATTAAAACAAAATCAATATAATAAAAAAACAAAAAATTCTAACCAAACAACCTTTAGTTTTCTGTTTTTTTCTTCAGCTTGTTGGTACCCTGGATCTTAATTTTGTTTTAGTTTTAGTTTAATTTTTGGGTTTTGGTGTGATTAGAATTTAAGATGAAGATTTGAGGAATTTTAGGTTTAGAGGATGAAGGAGAAAAAGAGGGGGACAAAATAGTCATTTCACTTGGACTTCACAAACATTTTGCAATACTATCAATACCAGGGACAAACCTTGCAACAAAACAACTATACATTTATCTAGATGAAGATAATAACTTACTTTTGAAATATCACAAGGAAGAAATTGTAATTTACTCTATAAATAATAATAATAATGGCATGTTACCTGGCAATAACCAAGATCAAAGTTGTAGAACAAGTAAGTCATGCACAATGCATACATTTGGATTATCATCGCCCTCATAGAAAGGCAATGAGATTTCAAGTCTTTACCTTAAAAACAAAAATAAAATACTTAAATAAAAAACCACATTTTAAATCAATTGAAATGAAAATGCATGGTTATTTTCATACCACATCTTTCTCGATCAAACCCTCAGAAGTTCCTGGAATTACATGTCATAACAGATTTAGTTAAAATCAGCCAAAAGGGTAAATGTGTAAATTAGGTAAAATTTTCAAAGTACAATGTCTTGATAAAGAAAATATTGAAAGTACAATAATTTAATAGAAAGAAAATGAAAACATGATGCTATAAAACACTTACGCAAAATGCCCATGGATTTGATTCATGATTAAATGCAATTGTGTTTCTCTTGCTCGATAACCTAATCACAATAAAGTTGATATTTAAGGAGTCAAAACCTCTTTGTGGACTGAAACAAATTCTTTTAGAACCTCTGGATCCATTGCACCATTACTCTAACAAAAATGGATAAATCATTCATATATTCGATAATAATTGGAAAACAAAATTATCTTCTATTAAAGTATTAAGATATGATCCAGTAACAAAAATTGCAATACCTGATCCCATTTCTTGTACAGATCACCGGAAAGAATGAAATGAAATCCATATTTTCTTAACATAATTGGAACAAGCATCACAGCTGAATGAAGAGGTTCCTGCAAAAAACTGAAGTTATTTTAGAAAAATCCCAAATATAACATTTTATTCACAAAAGGGAATTGACTATTACCTCATAAGAGAAATGAAGGCAAACACCAACACCCTCTTTATCCACCAAAGGCCACACCATGAGGCATTGATGTCCTAATACGCTAAATAAAAGCACACCTTTTAAATAAATAAACAGAAATGACAAATATTTGTTGTAAAGAACTACCAGACATACCACATAAGTGTTGAAGGTGTTTTCCATGCAATATTCAACATCTTTTTTTGATTGATTCAACATGAAGTATGATAATCCCATCATTTCCTGCAAATAATATATATATGCACAAGTTTTAGGAACAGAGGGGTATTTCTGGAAATAAACAAACAAAGTTACAGACTAATTTCTTTTATAAGCAGTGGATAAAAGATGGAAATCACACAAAACCTTTATTTGAGATTCAATGGAACTAAAACCGTATCTTTGTAGTAGCCTTGCAACAGAAAAATCACAACACCTCTTGGAAGTATCCTCATTTGATTAACATTCAAGCATTTTGACCTTATGCCCCCAAAAATCAAACTTCAATCTCTAAAATCCTGCAGTAAGAAAATTACATACTTGAGTCCTAATATTTTTGTAGCAATGACAATCAAAATCTGTTTCAAATATGAAAATTTTAAAGTTCATCCTAGTGTATATTAATTGGAAGTGAAACCTAACTTAATTAAATAGAAACACACAATTTTATATGCAACTTTTAGTTAGAACCAAAATACAATTCTATTTCTGAATGAGTTAAAAACGCAAAGAATAAATTATCTTTCCCTAATTGAATCTCTAATCGCTCAATAAGTTGTTTAATATTTAAATTTGGCTTGTGCTTATTTGCTTCTCTCTACATAATTTAATCTAATAACATTTTCACCCTCAAAACAACTCTTCAACTTAATTAAGGCATTTCATCAAACACCTAACAGTGTTTACAACTAAACAATACTTTTTTAGGTTTCAAGACTACTTAAATTTTACCGTTGCTTGACCAATCATCTTCATTCACTTGATGGGTGCTTTCTATTACGTGACCTGGTTCAAAAAAACAGCAAAACAAAAAATAAATGGACGAGAAATAGAAAGAAAAAAGAAACCCAGAAATCAGAGGTGAAAAATACACAATTAAACTCACAACCTAGAAATCAGAGGAGAAAGACCTGGACTATTTTTCTTGATCGATGACGACGGTGAACCAAACTGACATCGGAACCAGACGTCATACTACAACTACAAAGAATAAAGGTAGAACCCAATAGCCCGATGAATCCAGTGAAGAGGGGATTAGCCTAATTTTAAATACCTAACAAAAACAAAAACGAAATCAATAGAATACACAAAAAATAAAAAATCAAGAACATTACCTAACAAAGGAAGAGGGAAACGCAGAGGATTGTTCGAACGCCTGAGAATGAAAAAAAGAGGAAACGGTGGCGTCGATAGAAGAAAAAAGGGAGGAAGATGCTGCGTGCAAATAAGACCCTCTTCTTCAAGGAAACATGTATGTCTCCGGCGGTGTTTGGAGAGAAGCGAGAGGGACGAGTGAAGAAGGTTATTTTAAGCGCGAATACACCGACCCAACCCTTTCGACTTCCAGATTTCTAACGGTTCTTTTTATAAAACATTCCTAAATTACCGTACTAACAAAATATCATTTCCATTTATCTTAACTTAACTTTTGTTTTTTACTTTTCTAAACCACGTTTTTATCTTTTACTAAAAACTGATCCTTACGTTTTTTATTCTACACTTTGACCCAGCTTTTTTTAATTTTATTACAAATTTGTTCTAAACTTATTTTTTTGTACAACTTTCTTTTTATATATTTTCTAAAATTTAGGCTTTTTTTTTTACAACTTTACAAATTTTATTTTTTACAAATATTCTTTTATTTGTGTTTTATATATGTTTTTTTTAGATTTCTCTGATTTTATAAAATTTATTTTTTAATTCATTTTTTATATTCTACAAAAATTATTTTTTACATATTTATTTTTTTAATATGTTTTTAAAAATTAGTATTTTTTTTTTAGAAAATTCTTTTTTACAAAGATTAATGTCTTAGTTTTTATGCATGTTAAGGAACTTAAATAGGGTTCAAAACCCTCAAATTAGGGTTTAGCATCTGATCACGTACGCGCAATGTACCAAATGGTATGCCAAGCGTACGCTCTTCAATACACATCTTTATCAGCTAGTATGCTCGACGTACTACTTGTTGGATTAGGTGTCTAATCTCATAACTATAATTGGTATAAATTTGAATTGATGGTAGCACAATCCTTTTGGGTTGCCCTCAAACCTATGAATTGGACAAAATTGTTTTGGAGATATAGAATGATTTATTATTTGATCAATAAATTGAAATGAATGGTTTGTTAATATATTATGGAAATAATATATTAATTAGAAATAGTAGCTTGATTGTTCAACATAGATTGGGGCATTGTGATCTGTTTTCCCATTACCAAGGCTAATTCGACATCAGTTAATGCAAGACAACCGTAGTAATTGTCTATAAACAACTTGATATGAGAAAATCCATTTAAGAATCTTATTTGCTTGTCATTTGAAGCTTTGAGACATCAACTCCTTTCAAAATTCTTGCAACACAAATCAGGTCCTGAAGATTCAACAAAGGGAAGTCAGCTACCGAGAAGTCAAATGCTACATTGTTTTCTCAGACAACATGATATCGAAAATTCTACAACACTATCTCGAAGAAAACGTCTTTGGAAATGTTTAGAACTCGGACTATCTTGACCAAAGACCAAATATCCACTTCCCTTTTTCCCAGTATTGCATGGAATTGAATCTTCATTCGTTTATATTCTTCTTTGCCTTCGAACTTATCAAATATTTGATATTGTTCAGCCATGAACATCATTTTGTTGATTGGAAAGTCCAGCTCATTAAAATCAGTGTTGTTTGTAGCATAACTCTTATTGGGAACTTTTTCGAAATCGTGCATCTCTTCACTTATAACCAGGCTTCAATATTTTCGTAGCAATAATGCTTTGAAGGATCACCCTTTTCAAGACCAGGAGGGTCGCTTTCCCTTTGACGAAGAATGCTTTGAATTTGCCTTTACCTTTCTATTTCTTTTCCCAAGGACACCTTTTTCTCTTCGACAATTGGTTCTGTAGAGATACCCTTACCTTTCATTTTCATATTTTCTGTTGATGGAGGTGGCTTCGATGAACTTGATCCTCCAACACCAGAACCAATCACAACACCTTTCGTCAATGGTCTTGTTGTTGTTGTTGTTGAAGTAGTTGTAGACAAAATATTTGGCAATGAAGTGCGAAATTTGTGTAGACTTGATCTTTCCAACCACTTTCACATCACCATCGCCTTTCCTTGATCCACTCACTCCCATACCAACGTTCGATCCCATGCCAACACCATCCTCCCCCCCCCCCCTTCCACCCTGTGTGAATAGGTGAGCAACCGTTGGCATAAAGTTTACCAGTTTCGTGTGGAGCTAACTCTGTGTGAATAACAAATTCCAATAACCGAAATTTCTGAGTTAAAAACTTAGGAGTAAGTAACTCAAATGAAGAAGATCCAACTTTCGAAACTAATACAGTAAGAGTATTCAAGATTGTTTTCAATACTGCAACTTCCTGAGCATCAGACTCACCCTTCGTATCAAATTTTGGAATAAAGGAGTTATACCACTCAACCAAATTGGTGACAGCATCAACAATGATATCCACTGTGGTGTAAAAAGAAGAATAATCATGATGAAGAGTTGCAACCTCCTTAGCCATTTCAGAATGATGTTCCTCAATTTTCAGGTTCACATCCTCATGAGCCTTTTTGACATCCTAAACAAACAACACATGTCGTTCCTTCGCAACCGCTTTCAATTACTTTAATGCATTTAAGAAAGAATTAGATTGAGACTTCACCCGCAATTCATTGCTTCTATTAGGCATGTGCATGGGTCGGTTTTGACCTAAAACCAAACCCAAAACGATGATGATCGGTTTCTGAAAATTTGAACCCAAACCGAAAACCAAACCAATGGGTTCAGTTTATCGGTTTTCGGCTTTAAACTTCGGTTTCACGGTTCGGTTTTGGTTTTTTAATTCAAACCAAATCTAAAACTTATTTCTTAATCTTACCTCAACTCACTAACTATATAATGGTGAGGATATGTGATATTTAGATATCCCAAGCGATGTGGGACTCAATCAACGTTGGGGATAATAGAAAGAAAGAGGGCGGCAAAGTTATATAGAAGAGAATAATGGTCGAGTTTCGGTAATGGGGCGATGTGGGATGTGGTTAACTCATTGGCAAAATAAATGGAGAAAAAAGACGCTAGCAAGTTTCGAACCTGCACCGATTCCTACAAATGCCCAACGTGTTAACCACTAGAGCAACGTATTTGTTTGTGTTTTATAACCCAATGACTACGTATATATACATATATAAGTCACAGTACATATAATATATGAAATTTGGTTTGGTTCGGTTTCTATCGGTTTTACCAAACCCAAAAACGAACCCAAACCGAAAATTTTGGTTTTTGAAAATTCTAAACCCAAATCGTCGGTTTATCCTTCGGTTTCGGTTTTGTCGATTTTTTGGTTTCCGGGTTCGGATTTGCTCACCCCTAGCTTTTATCCATCCAATCCTAAGTATCCTTTAAACGAAGCTCATGGGCCTTGATCATAACATCAACTTCAATAACATAAACAATATTTCTACCCCCAACATCAACCTGAAGCTGCAATAAGGAGTTGATCTTCCTATTGAGTATTTTGAATTGTTTACCAAACATTAACATATGATATGGGATGTTCTCCACTTCTGGATCAAATTGGATTTCAGCAAAAGATCCCATAAATTCACCATCTTCTATGGTATCATCCTCGTGAATGGATTTGGGGCC